CTCTTCCAAACAGGGAATTTTTTGGATCTGCATAGCTACAGGATGTCCTGTTCCTTCAGGACACAGTACTCTGTGTTATTATTCTGGAAAAAAGCTATCGTTCGATGGTTAATAACAATATATTTTTAACCATTTGAGTGTTATTATGAATTCTAGATGCACACTTTTCTTTAACTTGTAAATCTTTCTTCAGATTCTTTGTGAGAAAAAGATGCCACCTATGTGCAAAGTTTTAATTCACTGATAAAGCACATTTTCTTTGAGAATTAGGAAATGAGTAATGTTGCTATTCCCTGCTTGATCATTTTCATCTCCAGTGATCCTCTCAAGGTACTGATCAAGCTCTTTTATTTTTCTTGGCTCTTCCCTCTCATTGGTTCTACTATTTCATATTCATATTTCTTTCAATATCATATCATCAACCAGGCTCTCATCTTTGTACATTTGCATCTTTCCTAAACCAGAGGCTTTTAAACATTTGAATATATACCCTCAGACATACATTTAGAAATTATATACATCACCTACTATATTGATATATTATGAATCATGTTCCCCAAAGAGAAATTTTAAAAGATGACATAAACTTTATTTTTAAATGTCATGCTAATTGTTATGGTTCATACTATGATTAGCTAGTATATCAGCATAATGCACATTGTAGAGTGAGGTTTTGTTAACTTAGTGGATATAAGTCCCATGTTTCAAATATTCTACTTGATAATTTTGACTTTTCAGCTGGCTTTTTGGTTGGACCCCAGTAGATTGTCATTGTTTTCACACTGTAATGTGACTGACCCAAGAATTTGTGCTAGGAGTAAGAGACATATCAGTTCTGCCTTTTCTTATTTGCTTGTGCTTGCATTATCACTATTACTTTTCATTCACAAATTCTTTACTAAAAGCTTTTTAAGCTACCTGTGCAATTTGTGAGACTTCGCCAAAATTAGATAATGTAACCCCTAAATCCACTTAATTAGGTATATGCCAACTTCATTACATCACAGTATGCTAAAATTGAAGAAGTAAGGGTACTTGAGGATATTAGTTATATTGTACATGTTATTATGAGGCCTTCTGACTTGTGTGCTGAATAGAGGGGCCAGTGTTTCTTGGTGTAGATTAGTAAAGCTTTAGATACTTTTTTGATAAAAAGAAGTATCTTGCATACTGCTTAGGAAAGTGCTCCCTGCTTTGTAGACCACAGGTATAAAACTTCATATACAAATGAAATGTTGGATGGATAGTTAATGACTTTGAAAAATAAAGAAAATTAGGCCAGGCGTGGTGGCTCTCACCTTTCATCTTAGCACTTTGGGAGTGTGACACCAGCCTGGACAAGATAGTGATACCCTATCTCTACAAAAATAAAAAAAAAAAAAATTAGCCAAATGTGGTGGTGTGCACCTGTAGTCCTAGCTACTTGGGAGGCTGAGGCAGGAACTCCTTGAGCCCAGGAGTTCAAGGTTGCAGTGAGCTGTGATTGTACCACTGTGCTCCAGCCTAGGTGACAGAGCAAGACCCTGACTCCAAAAAAAAATTTTTTTTATCTCTCCACCTTTCTCCCTTTCTCTTTGTTTTGGTATTATTTTTTATCCACAGATCATCTTTTGTGACTTTATCTTTTGACTAAGTTGCTTTGTTGTATTATTTAGCCCAAATTAAAAAATTTTTCTAATGATAAACATGTTTATACAGGTATTTCTGGTGTACATACAGTATCAAAATAATCGAAGTATATGAAAGCCCTTATAACTTGTAAGAAATATCTGATTATGTATGTTTTCTTTTTGAATTAAATTTTGTTCTGATTCTTTGTTTGTTGCTCATAAAAGCATATTGTCTGCCTTTATGCAATACAACCTTTTTAAAAGGCAATGAAGGGATTTTATAAAATTTTCTTTT